CACCTGCTGCAGCTTCTGTGCTGTGTCTGCACTCACAGTTTGCCCCCTCCCCTGAGTTCTGTCTGGGAAACTTCATGTTCAGTTGAAATTTTTACAAAGTTCAGCTGGAAGTTTCCTTCTCTCTGTGGTCTTTCCCCAGTTCCATTGCCAGTCCTCCCCAAGGACCGCTGTGAGACAGTCAGCAATGACTTCCCTGGGGACCAAGAGTGTCCACAGGGCTCTTCTTGCTGCTTCCTCTACCCCCATATTTCGTTCAGCTCTCTAAATTCATCTCAGCTCCAGGTGAGTTCAAATCCTTTTCCAGTGGTCTGGACCTTCTGATTCCCCAGTGAGGATGTGTGTTTGGGGGCAGACAATCCCCCTTTCACAGTTTCTCACTTTGGGCACTCACAGCTTTTATGCTGTCTCCTGGAGCCTGCAGCAGCAATTCGCTTCCTTCAAAGGGTCTGTGGGTTCTCTTGGTTTTCCTGGTATGTTCCTGCGGTAGTTCTTGGAGCAAAAATTCAAGATGTGAATCTCCACATGCTGCTCCGTTCTGAGTGGGAGCTGCAGGTTAGCCCTGCTTCCTAGCCACCATTTTCTCCCCACATTCACTTTTTGACTTTTCTTTTTTATTAACTGCCTGTTTATATGCTTTGACCATTTTTTTTTTTTTTTTTTTTGAGACGGAGTTTCGCTCTTGTTTACCCAGGCACTGGAGTGCAATGGCGCGATCTCGGCTCACCGCAACCTCCGCCTCCTGGGTTCAGGCAATTCTCCTGCCTCAGCCTCCTGAGTAGCTGGGATTACAGGCACATGCCACTATGCCCAGCTAATTTTTTTTTTTGTAATTTTTAGTAGAGACGGGGTTTCACCATGTTGACCAGGATGGTCTCGATCTCTTGACCTCGTGATCCACCCCCTCGGCCTCCCAAAGTGCTGGGATTACAGGTGTGACCCACTGCGCCCGGCTGCTTTTACCATTTTTTTTTAGGGGTTGCTCTCTACTTCAGGTCAGAAGTTTCTGTGCTTTCTAAATAGTGATCTCTTTTTGGTTTGAACATTGTATATGCCATCTTTTATAAATAGAAATTCTGTACAAACCACAGTGCAAAAAAATAAAAATAAAAAAAAAGAAATTCTGAATTCTTATACAAGGTTCTGGACAACAGTGCCCTCTAAGCAAAAATTCTAAATTTGGATGAAGTACATGCAAATTTTGATCTATGATTTGTGCTGCTGAAGGTGTATCAAGAAGCCTTTTCTTTGTGTTAGATAACAAGGGTTATCTACCACATTTTCTAGCCTCTCTAAGCCTCTTTGTTTGTCCATCTGTTTCTGCATGTCATCCCACCTACACAGCTCTATTCATTAATTTTTTGTCTAATTGACATTTTCTTGTCACAAACTGTGACTTGATGAAGATAACATAAACTCATAATAATGTCCCTCAATAAGAAAGGAACAATATGCCGAGTGCGGTGGCTCGTGCCTGTAATCCCAGCACTTTGGGAGGCCATAGTGGACAGATTACCCAAGGGTGAGAGTTCAAGACCAGCCTGGCCAACATGGTCAAACCCTGTCTCTACTAAAAATACAGAATTAGCTGGGTGTGGTGGTGTGTGGCTGTAATCCCAGCTACTTGGGAGGCTGAGGCAGGAGAATCACTTGAACCCAGGAGGCAAAGGTTACAGTGAAACGAGATCGTGCCATTGTACTCCAGCCTGGGCGACAAGAACGAAACTCCATTAAAAAAAAAAAAAAGGAACAATAAACTTGTTCATTAGTCCATAAAACATGCTAAATTAGTTGGCGAATCAGAACACTTGAAATGTCCTGAAATTTTTCAGCTGACATTTGAAACAAACTTGCTACTATTTCTCCCCAAATTGGGCAAAAATCCTTTAAAAATCGTATGAAATTTAAATAAATAAAACTTTGAAGCCAAAAGAAATGTTTCTACAGGACTAATAATGAAAAACAAATTTTAATCAAATATGATCAAAATGAAATTATTTTTCTTCCCCTAGAAAATGAGATTATAAAATCATTGATTATAAGCAGAGATAATTGAAGAGTATGAGGACAAAGGAATGCAAGAGAAAAACTCTGTAAGGCATTTAAGACAATTGCAAAATTTAAAAATTATGCATCTTCTAAATTTTACCTTGATTTTGGTATTATATGCTCTTTTAAATAGGTCATGTATTATTATTCCTTTTATCATTTAGATTTGCTATTTACATTTGTTATTTCTTTTCTCATTAGAATAATCAGAGTATTACCTAAGTTTATAAACTTAAGAATCTTTTATTCTTTTTTTTTTTTTTTTTAATATGGATTCTTCTTAAAAACTAAACTTCACATAGAGTAGGCCACCTCATGATACTGTTTTCAACCAATCAACCAAATGAATCATTAGAGCCCTTTCTAATTCCTCTAGCTGCAATGTTAAACCCAGTATTTCTGTCTGGTGGGTCCATATTAATAAATTCAGCCTGATCTAACTTTACATTCCTTCCACCATTATTCCACACCCACCCGTAATGTGCATTCCCACATATGTTTCCTGGATTTCTGTCTGTCTAATGGGTAATCCTGGCTTCGCCAGTTTCTTGTGACTTAACATCTCTGTGACTTATGTTCTGCTTTAAAGTAGAAATAGTAACAGTTTCTGTACAGAGTTTAGAACTTCCCAAGATGACCCTCCATTGTGATATCAGTCCAGATTCCAGGAGAGTCCCAGAGATCATCCTCAGGTCCAGTCTGTAAGCACACACTTACGTGCTTGCACTGCTGAACGTGGGGATGTGTCAGGCATCATCTTCAGCATCGTCTTCAGCACTTACGGATGCTCATCTAATCCTCACAACATCACTATGGGTGGGTATTACTGGCCTCATTTGAGAGAGGAAGGGGCTGTGGCTCAGAAATGGGGGACCACTAGACCAGGGTCACTCTGAATGTTGAGGACTCCAGAGACCACGACCAGTCACCAACTGCAGAGAAATTTATTGTGACTTTATGTCCCTGCCCTGTAGAGGGTGGAGGTGGACCTTCATTAACCTCCTACCTTGACCCTCTCTTTTAAGGCTCTTTCTAACCTCTGCCATGATACCAGGACCCCACTGCACTCTGTACCCGCTTGCCTCTATGATCCCCACTGCCCACTGCATCCAGCTGGGTCCTCTCCTATCTCCATTCCCAGCTGGCCAGTGCAGTCTCAGTGCCCAACTGTCTGTCAGTAACTCTGAAGGGGCTGACATTTTACTGGCGTGCAAACAAATAAGCTAACTTGCCAGAGTTTTGGTAATGCTGGCAGAGTCCATGAGACTCCTGCGTCAGAGACAAAGGATTTTACTGCTCACAGCTCAGCAGGCAGTATGCAGTTTATGTTTACATTAGTTCACCTTGCCTTCCCAAATCTTGCAGAGTGACCAGAGCCATCCAGGTGGATGCCATGCACACAGGGTTTGTGCCACTGGTGAGAAACCTGAGATTAGGAATCCTCAATCTTATACTGGGACAACTTGCAAACCTGCTTAGCCTTTGTCCCTGATGGAGATATAATCTTTACGATTTTGGATTGAAAACAGACCTTGTATTTGTTGTCCTTGACAGTAAACAAATCTGTTGTGAGACATTATCTTTATTATCTAGGGCAGTAAGCAATGATGTGAGAGAGATACCATCTTGCAAGGATGCCTGCTATACAAACATCCTTGAAAAGACAGTCCAGAAAAAAAAAAGGTGTTACTGTCTTTGTTTAGAAGACACACAGATACATGACAGAACCATGGAGAATTGCATTCCAACACCGTTCAGCTAGAGCCTTCCACCCTTGTCTTCAGAGCAATCTCAACATTCCACAATTAAATACATTGTCTATCACATCTGGCTTCCTCATGCCCAAGTTCTAGGTCTCGTTCCTGACCACGTCTGGCAGCACAGCACTGACAAACCCAGAATAGGGCAGTGCTTAGGATCCTGAAGATGCATGGCTGGGGATCAGAACTTCTGGGTTTGTGTGGAGAGTGGGTCCAGCCTCTAGAGTTTCAAAGGAGGAAGGGGCTAGAGGTGAGGGTCCTGGAGGAAGAGTGTCAGTTCTGAACTCTCATGTCAATGAGGGAGAAGACTGGTAAGGTCTCAGCTCCAGAGGTACTGATGTGGGAGTGGCCTAAGAATCCCATATCCAGGCTGGGTGTGGTGGCTCATGCCTGTAATCCCAGCACTTTAGGAGGCTGAGGAGGGCAGTTCAGAAGGTCAGGAGTTTGAGACCAGCCTGGCCAATGTGGTGAAGCCCCGTCTCTACTAAAAATACAAAAAAAAAAAAAAAGAATTAAATGGGTGTGGTGTTGGGCGCCTGGAGTCCCAGCTTCTCAGGAGGCTGAGGCAGGAGAATTGCTTGAACCTAGGAGACAGAGGTTGCAATGAGCCGAGATCCCGCCTGGGCAACAGAGTGAGGCTCAGTCTCAAAAAAAATCCTGAGGGCTTGAATTCTGGGTATTTGTGACTTGAGGCTCTCTTTGGTCTCTGAAGGGTAGAGGCTGTAACCATTGGGTCCAGGGTTTAGGGTGATAGTAATGGGATCTCTTGATTCCCCAATAGTCCGAGGATTGACTCCATTCTTCAGTGTTGCCTGTTAATCCTTACTCCACTTGAGGGTCATCACCAGCCCTTCTAGCTCCGTGAGGGTGTACCTGGGCGAGCACAGTCTGAGCAGGAGTGATGTCCGAGTCCTTGGGTGTCATCCACTCATCATCCAGATCCACACAATGAGGGCTTGGCCAGCGCTGTGACGTCATGTTGCTGCGACTATCTCTGCAGTGCGTCTCTCTAGCTATGTGCCAACCGCGGAGCTGCCGACATCAGTTCTGTGGTGGGAGTGGCCTGCATGGTGCCAGGCTGGGGCCTGGTGTCAGACAGGGATCCTGGAAATCTCAAGGGCTTCTGGTTGGAGGGCACAGGGACCTGAACTTAAGGGTTTGCCCCAAGTCCATTGCTATCCCACGTGAGTCTCTTAGATATGAGGCACCGTGCCAGCATCAGCCTTATCTCCACCACATCTTATAAAAGGGACTATCCAGGGCCCTGATGAACACCATGGTATGTGCAGGAGTAGAGGTTGGAGGCAGGGACTCCTGTGAGGTCAGAGCCAGAGAGGGCCATCACGGATGGGGAGGAGGCTGTGGACTGGCTTGAGAAGTACAATGTAGTTGTGTTTGATTTCCTTGACCAGATAAAGTGCTGGGTATAGGACTGATAATGGAGAATGAGGCTGGGCGCGGTGGCTCACGCCTATAATCCCAGCACTTTGGGAGGCCGAGGCGGATGGATCACGAGGAGAGATCGAGACCATCCTGGTCCACAAGGTGAAACCCCGTCTCTACTAAAAATACAAAAATTAGCTGGGCATGGTGCTGCGTGCCTGTAGTCCCAGCTACTCGGGAGGCTGAGGCAGGAGAATTGCTTGAACCCAGGAGGCGGAGGTTGCAGTGAGCCAAGATCGTGCCATTGCACTCCAGTCTGGGTAACAACAGCGAAACTCCGTCTCAAAAAAAAAAGAAAAAAGAAAATGGAGAATGAAGACCAGTCAGAATGGAGGGTCAGGTTGGAGTTGAGTTACAGATAGGGTAAAATTGTGCTTTGGATGAGCTTGGGATTGACAATTTAAAGGTGGTTTGGGGTGGCATGGCTTTGGGATGGAAATAGGTTTGTTTTTAATGTTGGCTGGGAAGTGTGTGGGGATTGAACTGGGGATGAGGTAAGTTTGGTTTTGGAGATAGAATATATGGAGGCGGCTATTGCGTGCGAGGATGTGTATTCGTTTGGTTTGATATTTAAATGAAGGAAGACGTTAGGGTTGTCTTGAATGAGATTAAGTTGTGTTGGGTTGATGGGTTGGGCTTGTGTGTCATGTGGTTACATTGGGTTGTGTTAAATAGGTTTGGATCACGTTTTGGTTGAGGGTATGATGGAAATGAGGATACATTTGAGACACTGGATTCAGGTGGTTCTCATTCACACTGAGGGAGATTTTTTTCAGATGGTCATTCCAGGGAACCTGTGGTTGTGTAGAAGTCAGGCCATTGGCTATGTATGTCTCTCTACATAGTACTCTGGTCTTGAATTGTGATTCTCTATGCCCACTTCTGTCTCCTTCACTGTACTTGGAATTTATCTTGTCATTCAGCTGGAAATGAGGAACAATTTTGTCAAATTCTTGAGACACAACTGGGCCTGGATCAGTGTGAGCTGCTCTGGTTTTACAGAACAGATGAAATAACCATTTCCCCCCCCCAAAAATCTAAAAAATCTTATAGAGTTAACATTAACAGTGAACTCTATGAGTTACCTGAGTTAACACCAGGACTCTTGTTCTTGATTCTTTTCTGAGACACCAAAATGAGATATTTTTCAATGCCACCCTAATTTTTTTTTTTTTTTTTTTTTTTCTTTTGAAACACATCTGGGTCTTTTGCTCTGTCACTCAGGCTGGAGCGCAATGGTGTGATCATAGCTCACCAAACCTTTGACCTCCTGGACTTAAGGGATCCTTTTGCTTTAGTCTCCTGAGTAGATGGGGCTACAAGTGCTTACCACCACACCTGGCTAATGTAAAACTTTTTTTTCTTTTTTTAGAGATAGGGTTTCATTTGTTGCCCTGACTAATCCTAAGCTTCTGACTTCAAGTGATTCTTCAGCCTTGGACTCCCAAAGCACTGGGATTGCTGGCATGAGCCACTCGCTGTGCCTGGCTTGCAACTTAATCCTGAAGTGTATAAACCTGGCTCCTGATAGCTACGCATTTCATTGAGAAAGGGGCATTGGATTTTGCATGAGGACAATTCTAACCTAGGAGGGCAGGTCAATAGGAATTCCTGTTGTATGAATAGAGTGCATAGGCGTGGACAATGAGGAGTGAGGAGCCACCAGAACCCTACATTGTTTAGTGGACATTGGATTTTGAATAATAGGGAACTTGGTCTGGGAGACTCATTTCTGGATTGGAGAATATGTGGTATCACAAGGTTTTTGTTTTTGTTTTTTGAGACGGAGTTTCACTCTATTGCCCAGGCTGGAGTACAGTTGCATGATCTCGGCTCACTGCAACCTCCACCTCCCAGGTTCAAGTGATTCTCCTGCCTCAGCCTCCCAAGTAGCTGGGATTACAGGTGCCCACCACCACGCCCAGCTAATTTTTTTTGTATTTTTAGTAGAAATGGGATTTAACCATGTTGGCCAGGCTGGTCTTGAATTCCTGACCTCAGGTGATCTGCCCACCTTGGCCTCCCAAAGTGCTGGGATTATAGACATGAGCCACCATGCCCGGCCTGTATCACAAGGTTTTATCATGAAAGGAGGAATATGTGTGTGGAACTATTTTCTGATGTGAAAGTGTGAGAAACAGAGAGTACTGAATGCCAAGGCTCCTATTTCAGAAACATGATAAGTTTGAGGTCTAGTTTCTGGGCTCAGACTGGTATAGGGACCAGGAAGTCTCACAACCCCATGATTCTGATATTTCAGGGCACATTATGCCTTGGGGTGCAAAGGAGTTACTTGGGATTTAGGCACATGAGACTTTGTATTGAGAATCACTGATCGGGGCTGGCCATGGTAGCTCAGGCCTGTAGTCCCATTGCTTTGGGAGGCCAAAGTGGGAGGATCGCTTGAACCCAGGAGTTGGAGACCAGCCTAGGCAACATAACCAGACCCTCTTTCTACAAGAAAATAAAAATTAACTGGATGTGGTGGTACATGCCTGTGGTCTCAGCTATTCTGGAGGCTGAGACAGAAGAATAGCTTGAGTCTGTGAGTTCAAGGCTACACTGAGCTGTGATCACGACACTGTACTCCAGCCTGGGCAACAGAGTGAGACTCTCTCAGAATTTTTTTTTTTAATCAAGAATCAGTGATCATCCCAAACCCTGTTGCTGTTCATCCTGGGCCTGCCTGCTCTGGCTTTGTCCCCTGGATCATGTCTCCATGACCTACAGGCCCTGCCTAATCTGGCCTCACACCTTGGGAATGTATCCAGACTGATCTAATATGTGCAGAACAACAAGTGCTGTCTCTCCCTCCCCTTCCACAGCTCTGGGTGTGGGTGGGGGTTGTCCAGCCTCCAGCAGCATAGGAAGGGCCTTGGTCAGCATCTGGGTGCCAGCAGGGCAGGGGTGGAGTCCTGGGGAATGAAGGCTTTATAGGGCTCCTCAGGGAGGCTCCCTAGCCCCAAGCTTACCACCTGCCCATGGACACCTGTGTCAGCATACGGTTCCTGGTTCTCTCCATCACCCTGTCTGTGGGGTTCACTGGTGAGATGGGGGATAAAGGAAGAGGAGTGGGTTCTGACTCTTATGCTAAAGCCCTTTCCCTCCCACCCAGCGCTCCAGCCTTATCCCTTCAGCCCACAGTTCACCCCAGACAATGTGCCCCAGTTCCTCCACATTGTAGTAGTCCTCAGGCCTACACTAGGTCCCCACTCCCTCCTACTTACCCCAGAACTTTCTCCCCATTGCCCAGCCAAATCCCCATTCGCACCTGCTTTACTAAAGGGGAAATTCCTGGGCACCTCTATGTTTCTCTTTATGGGGCTCAAAACCTTTTAAGAACCTCTCTCAATGCCGGTGGTCACTGGAACCCTATCATTGGGCTGCCTCCTGAGCCCCTCAGTCATGCCAGTCTACTGACTTTTCCCGTTCAGCTGTGAGCATTCAACCCTGTCCCCCGGACCTTGACACCTGGCCTCCCAGTCCTGTCCCAGGAAACCCAGATTCCACCAGACACTTCCTTCTTCCCCGCAGAGCTATCTGGACTGAGACAACAAATGCCGTCCCACCCTAGTCTGGCACTGGGACTCAGAACTGCTCCTTCCCCGACTCTGCCCAGACACTTCATTCAGTGGCCAGCCTTTTCCCTAGGAGAAAACACGAGCACCCCCAACCACAACTGCCAGTTCTCAGATTCCCGAAATCTGCACCCTTTTCAAAACCTCAGAAATCGAATAAAAAACAACTCAGGCAGAACTGTTTGCTTAACCGTGGACATGGTAAACTCTGTAAAACCTTCCTCTCCCAGCAACTAAACGTCTCCATAGGGCACTTATCCCTGGTTTCTGGAACCCTTTATTCTCTCACAACCCACGTCTTCCACCACAGTTTCCCTTCTCCCAGTGCAAAACCCTAAATCACTGCAAATGACCCAGCCCCCAGCCTGATGCTTGCTCCAGATGCTGTCCTATGTCCCTGACTCTGATCTCTGGGGTCAGCTCTGCTCTCGGAGCATGAAGTCTCCCCACCTGGCCCAGCCACCAACCCGCCAATGCAGGGAATAGCTACAGAATTCCCAGCCCTCCCAGCACCCCTTATTTGTGTGATTCCCAGTCCTGGTCCTCCACCCGTATGTCTCTTCAAACCCACAGCTCAGCTCCCTCCTCCATCTAACTCTTCTAGCCCCTCCTGTCAATCTGATCCCCCCTGACCCAGCACCCCTCTGCAGGTGCCGAGCCTCTCATCCAGTCTCGGATTGTGGGAGGCTGGGAGTGTGAGAAACATTTCCAACCCTGGCAGGTGGCTGTGTATAGTCATGAATGAGCACACTGTGGGGGTGTCCTGGTGCACCCCCAGTGGGTGCTCACAGCTGCCCATTGCAGAAAGGAGTAAGTAGCAGCCTGGGATGTGGGAAGGGAATGTCTGTGTCCCACAGGAATCACAACTGGGTACTTCCCCCGTGGTCACTTCTCCAGTGAGGCTTCAGATTAAAGGGGAGAGGGGAGGTCCTGGCCCAGGTGGCACTGGGAGGCAGAGCTGGGACTGGACCACTCTCCTCATGGCTGCTTGGGTCTCTCTCTGTGTCTGGTCTCACTGTGTCTCTTGGTATCTGGCTCTGGTTGTGTCTGTGTGACTGTGTTTTGGTCTCTATATCCCTCTTTTCTGCCTCCCTGTCTCTGTGTCTCCCCCATCTCTGTGTCTCTCTGGGTCTTTCTACTGCCATCTCTGTCACCATGTGCCTCACCCTCCTTCTCTCTGCCTGTCTTTCTCTCTGGGTTTCTGCCTCAGCCCTTCCTCATCACTATTGAGCACTCCCAGATGGGCCTGTGAGAGTGGGTGAGGAGCATCCCATTGAGGAGGGAGGAAGGAGAAAGGGAAGCAAGAAAGGAGGGGAAGGTGGCCGGGCGCGGTGGCTCATGCCTATAATCCCAGCACTTTGGGAGGCTGAGGCGGGTGGATCACCTGAGGTCAGGAGTTTGAGACCAGCCTGGCCAACATGTTGAAACCCCATCTCTACTAAAAATACAAAAATTAGCCAGGCACAGTGGTGCATGCCTATACTCCCAGTTACTACGGAGGCTGAGGCAGGAGAATTGCTTGAACTTGGGAGGTGGAGGTTGCAGTGTAGTCAAGGTCATGCCACTGCACTCCAGCCTGGGTGACAGAACAAGACCCCATCTCACACACACACACACACACACACACAAAAACAACAACAAAAGGAGGGGAAGGGAGCTGGAGGGAGAAAAGGGGACATGGCCCTGGGCTGTGGGCCAGGCCACCCACCCTACAGAGCCCTCACTCCATCTGCAGCTGCAGGTGAACCACCCCCATGCCTCTGCTCCTCCCCCTACCATTCCACACTTAGATGCCTCTGTGGCCTCCCTCCTTTTTCTCTCCCACACTATATCACCCCTGGCTTCCTCTCTGCTGTTTCTCCTTCTCTTTCTGACTTCCTGCATTTTTTTCTCATTTGTCTGCTTCTCACTCCCTTCCTGGATCTGTTCTCTCTCCTTTCCTCTTTCCCGCATCTGTTTCTTGCTGTCCGGGTCTCTTCTTTGCTCATCCTAATTCTCACTGTTCTCCCCTGTTTTTGTCATTCCTCTGCCTTTTTATGCTCTTTCTTTTCCACTTTGTTTCTCTCAGTATCTGTATTTTCGTCTCACACAATTGTACTCCTGTTTTCTAACTCACTGTATTCACCATGACTATATCTTCCCCACCCCTGTGTTTTTCTCACTGTTTCTTTTTCTCTCCTTTGGCGACTACCTTATCCTCCCCTGCCCCATCATCCTTTCCACATTTTCCCTCTCCTCATCTATCCATCCCCCTTTCTTCCCAGGAATAGCCAGTTCTGGCTGGGTTGGCACAACCTGTTTGAGCCTGAAGACACAGGCCAGAGCATCCCTGTCAGCCACAGCTTCCCACATCCGCTGTACAATATGAGCCTTCTGAAACATCAAAGCCTTAGTCCAGATGAAAACTCCAGCCTCGACCTCATGCTGCTCAGCCTGTTGGAGCCTGCCAAGATCACAGACACTGTGAAGGTCCTGGGCCTGCCCACCCAGGAGCCAGCACTGGGGACCACCTGCTACCCCTCAGGCTGGGGCAGCATCCAACCGAAGGAGCATACATCTGGGCTGGATGGTGCAGTCGGGAGCCCAGATGCCTGGGTCTGAGGGAGGAGAGGCCAAGGAACCAGGTGCAGCCTGGCCACAGCCCAGTTTTTCTCTGACCCGTAATCTTGCACCCAAAGAGTCTTCAGTATGTGAGCTTCCATGTGTGCCAGAGCTTACTCTGAGAAGGTGACAGAGTTCACGTTGTGTGCTGGGCTCTGGACAGGCGGAAAAGACACTTGCAAGGTGGGTTATCCCTACTCCCAAGATCTTGAGGGGAAAGGTGATTGGAGACCCTAATTCTGGGCTGGGGCCTGAAAGCTAACCAGACATGTGCCTCCCCTGCTCCCCAGCTATGGCCGTGCCCCTCCCCGTGGCTCATCTGCCGCCCTCCTTCCCACTTCCCTTACTCCCTCAACATAACAGGTGATTCTCACAGCATAGTTCACCCATTCCTGCATTCAGCACATGCTTTGGGCACCTGCTACATGACCAGCACTTCCCTAGACTCTGGGAAGCAGCAGTGAACAGACAAGAGCAGCCCCTTCCTCCCACAGCCTCCTGTGGCCCAGGTGAGGCCCTGCAGGAGGGTGGTTTGAAGGAGTGAGCAAAAACTCTCCTGCAGGGCCTTACCTGGGTCACAGGAGGATGTTCCTTTTCCTCTGAGGAGTCAGGAGCTGTGGATGGTACTGGAAAGAAGCAGGGCAGTGCCTGGCTCAGGTGTTCAAAGGCTGCCACTGGCCTCCCTGTGGGATCAGACTGCAGGGTGGGAAGGCAGCAGGGGTGTTGGGGGGAGTAATGATGGGGCTGACCTGGGGGTGGCTCCAGGCCTTGTCCCCGCCTGAGCCCTCACCCAGCCTCTCTCACAGGCTCCTGGCCCTCAGTTTCCTCCCTCTACTCCATTCGCCACTTGGCCCCAGTGGGTCATTTTGATCACCAAACTGACCATGCCCAGCCCTGCCCATGGCCCTCCCTGGCTCCCTAGTGCCCTGGGGAGAGGGTGTCTAGTCAGAAACTAGTCCCGGAGAAGTGGCCGATGAGCTGCGGGGACAGCGTCCTGTAGATGGCCCTGCCTCTCCTCCTGCTGACCTGTCTGCAGGGGCTGTCCTGGATCCTGCCCCCTGTGCAGGAGCTGGGCCCCAAAATCCCTTCCCCATTGGCCAGGATTGGAACCCTGTCCCCTCTGTTGGAATCCTGCCCATATTCCTGTAAGAGTGGGTTCTGGAGACATTTCTCTCTGTTCCTGAGAGATGGGAATTGCTGTCAGTCATCTGCCTGTCCATCTGCCTAGGCAACTCCATCTCAGAATTGGACAGGCAGATGACTGTGTCTCTCCCCGTTTACCCTTAGGGTGATTCTGGGGGTCCACTTGTCTGTAATGGTGTGCTTCAAGGTATCACGTCATGGGGTCCTGAGCCATGTGCCCTGCCTGAAAAGCCTGGTGTGTACACCAAGGTGGTGCATTACCAGAAGTGGATCAACAACACCATCATGGCCAACCTCTGAGTGCCCCTGTCCCACCCCTACCTCCAGTAAATTTAAGTTCACCTCATGTTCTGGCATCACTTGGCCTTTCTGGATGCTGGACACCTGGAGCTTGGAACTCACCTGACCAAAGCTCAAGCCTCTTGAGTCCTACTAACCTATGCCCTTGGGTGTGGACTCCAGGGCTGCTAGGAAAAGGAATAGACCAGTGTTTCTGACATGGATATAATTTCACCATCTCGTTGGGAACACTGGTCATATCTGGAGACCTCTCACTCAGTTTCACTGAGGACATACACAAGGATGTGGGTGACCATGCTGTTTGTGGGATGCAGAGATGGGAGGGGTAGGGCCCACCCTGGAAGAGTGACACAAGGTGATAATCAGCTCTCTGCATAAGCTGGAGGCACGATGCACGAGGCAGTCACACAGCTAGGAAGATGCTGAAAACAGCCCACTCTGTCCTGGGGGCACTGGGAAGCCTGGATAAGGCCATGAACAGAAAGGAGGGGAATGTCCTCCTATGTTGTTGAAGAATGGACTAAGGGGAGAAACTGAAAGCTGATTAATTACGGGAGGTGTGTTCAGGTCCCCCAAACCGGATTTGATGATTTCCTAGTAGGACTTATGGAAATAAAGAGCCATCATGCTGTGGTTTATTATGGTTTGTTACCTTGATAGATTACACATTGAAATCACTAAACAAAGCAGACACATAGATTGGAGTGTGGAGAAAACAGGAAAACTTGGCAGTTACTAGTCTTGCTTTATGAAGTTTTCATACTGGCAGGAAGTGAAACCTATTAGGCTGAGGACCTTGTGGAGTGTAGCTGACCACGCTGATAGAGGAACTAGCCAGGTGGGGGCCTTTCCCTTAGGATGGGGGCATATCTGACAGTTATTCTCTCCCAGTAGAGTATTATGGACAGCACATAATTCTCCCTGCCAGGATATATGATAATGTGTATGAAGTAATTCTAACTAAGGAAGCTCACCTGATCTTCAGTGTCCAGCATTTTTATTGGGGGTCTGTAGGATAAGTATGGAGTACTTGACTAATTGACCTTAAGTGCCCAGACCCAAAGTTTCCCAGAGGTCAAACAGATATAGCATGGTCCAGGGTCCAGATGTACAAAAACAAGCATTCCTCACAAATCACATGTTTAGCATGAATCATCTGGCATGGCCCAAGGTCCCACATATACCAAGGCACTTGGGCAGAACATTCCAAGGGATCAGATGTTATCTCCCAGGAGTTCTTCAAGAATGAGCCCTTTGCTTGGAATGTGAATACAGTGGCTCTCTTCTCTACTGGGTCCATGTCTCTGTCGTTAGCTCAGATTTCATCTTCTTGTCCTTGTCTTTCTGTCTCCATCTCTGTCTGTCTGTCTCTTTGCATGTGTATATTTGTGTGTGTGCATCTAATTTTTTCTGTTTCTCTAAAAATTCTGAGACAGACTTTACTAGTGCTTCTAGAGGAAGGAAGTCTTAAGAGTGAGCTTTCTGAATTAGTTCTGGTGTTTCTAGTTCTTGGAATTAGTTCTGTAATGAGAATAAATTTAAAGGCACCAATAGATCTATTTTCAGTAATGCAAAGAGAAATAAAAGGCCATAGTGTGATGTGGCAATAGAGATACGCAAAGTATCACCACAGGATAATCCCAATAAAATAAAGGGGCAATGTCTGGGGTGATCATGTATATGATACTTGGGAATTTTTTTTAAGTGAGAAGCATAATGAAATTGGATGATTGCTCCTAGTTTTGTTGGTAAAAGTGGAAAAAGAAAAGAATGAGCACAGGACTTTAAATTCCCAAGTCACAGACTGAAGAAGTCATCTAAAGTTTCTATGTCTATGTTGAAAGAAACCTTTATCTCCTGTAGCCACAGAGCTGAGATTTCTGAAAATCGAACCTAGAATTTTACTGTGTGAGTGGCTGAATTACAATGCTAATTAAATCCTCAGTATACAGGTTGTCTGGCATTAAAGTAAAGGCATAATTGGAAAGGGTAGGGAACCCCAACACTGGAATGAAGACATATGGGAAGACTCTGATTATGGTGAGGAGGCTGGGGAAGGTTCTAATTAGAGGATTCGGCATGAGGCTTTAAAAATGAAGATCCAGGGGGCAGATGGGATGTGGCCAGTGTCTGGCAGGATGTGGGGCACTTGGCATCTATCCTGGTGCCTGAGGAAGCAGTGACCTCTCCCAAGAGGGAGAACCCAAGAGGAACAGCATGTTGGGGAGGAGGAGAGACAAATGGCGAAAGGAAATTTATATGCCGAAGGTGGGATGAATTTGTGTCTGGAAGGATCCAAGTAGGGCCAGGAAGGTTCGGCTTCAGCTTGGCTTACACTGTCCCCAGAAAAGTTCAACTCAGCCTTGATCCCTCTTCTATCATGTGGCTGTGCCCAGCTGGGACTCCTCCTACTTCCCACCCTTCCATCTCCAGCTGGACAGGTGCAGCCTTAGTGCCCAACTGTTTGTCAAAAACTCTGAAGGGGCTGATATTTTGCCAACTCGCAAACAAGTGGCCTGCCACAGTTTTATGGATACTGGCAGAACACACCAGATTCTGGATCAAAGACGAAGGACTTTGTTACAGCACAGCAGGCAGCATGAGCTTTGTGTTCACATTAGTTCACCTTGACCCCAAGTCCCACAGGAATGATCAGAGAAGTCCAAGGGGATCCTACGCACACAGTGCTTTCTTCACTGCTGAGAAACCTGACCTTAGGAATGCTGAATCTTATAAGGGGACTTTTCATATTTGTTCAAGAGGAAGTTCTTCATTATCCCAACCACAAACAGACCTGCTCGCTACACTTATTTTACTGAACACTAAACAAATCTGTTTGAAGGGACGTATTATCTTTATTACACTGGCCGGTAAGCAAAGCTGTTCTGTTGAAAATACCATTTGCGAGATTGCCTGCTAGCCAAACATCCCTGAGAGTCCAAAGCAGCATTGTCTTTCTTTTTGCTTAGAAGACATGTAGAAACATGAGAGGCCCATGGAGAATTTTTTTTCTTAGAATCATAATTTAAATGCTTTAAACTTCCCTGTAGAACAACCTTGTACTTCTTCCTTATATTCCTTGTCTGCCACATCTGTGTTACCCTAGTCTCACCATTGTTCCAGGCACAGTTCCCAACAATGGCAGGAAAAATACGGGGATCTCATCTGGATGTGCCCTATTGTTGCTGTCTGTTTACGTGTGGATTTGCCTTTGAGAGGACATATCCACGTTTCCCAGTGTAGAGGCTCACGGTCTTCTGACTGGGAAAAGCCCCTGTTTGGTAACTGCATAGTGCAGTTGTGTGTGTGTGTGTGTGTGCGCACACGCACATGTGTATGTGGTGGGTGTGCAAGACCCTACTGTCCACTACCTGCCCACACATGTGAACTATGTCCCTATATGGGAAAACTAATGAGTAGCCTTAAACACCAAGTGTCTGACTTGGGAGATAATCTAAAGATGGATAAATCTTTCTTGTCCCAGCTGCCTGCGTCTCCAAAATATGTCTTTCCCATAAATTCCCAATTCTGTGTCTGGGAATTGCCTGGAATCGAATCTCTGAGCCTGTATTTGAACGTCTGGTCCCTGGGGTTGGTGTCTGCAACTTTGAATCACCACTAAGTGGCTTTAGGGACGAATCACAGTATTAGCCTTGACTCTCTATAGCTAGGTCTGCACATTCGTTTGACTAATCTGAATATCCACACATATGTATCATAACTAAGTGATGTGTCCTTGACTAAAATAACTGATGCTTATTACTATGTATTACAGTTACTGTGTGCCAGGCATTATCATGCACACCCAGACACATGTACATACACAAAGACACATTTTCCTATTTAAGTCTTAAGATAACCCCCAGGGCCGGGCGCGGTGGCTCATATCTGTAATTCCACCACTTTAGGAGGCCAAGGTGGGTGGATCACCTCAGGTCAGGAGTTCGAGACCAGTCTGACCAACATCGAGAAACCCTGAATTTTCAAAGATTCAGAACTAATATGTTTGATCATACGCTAGGATGCAACCACCATACTATAGACCCATGTCTGTGAATTGGTTTTCAGGGGGTTACTGAGAATATGACCCCTCCAAGTCACTGCATATCAGTGTCTCTCTCCTGAGTACCTTTACTAAGGCCCCACCTTCTATGTTCAGAGCTTGTGTGCAAGTGTGTGCATCTGTAACATTGAGTATCCAGACCTACAGTGAAGTGCAGATTTGGGCCCGAGCCTCTATGTCCAAAGCCGTGTGTGTGTGTGTGTGTGCATGCACACCCATGTCATAACTGTCCACACTTATACAAATATCAGTGTTCATGTAGTGATTCTTGAAGCTGAGACCTATTTATGTGTTAAGTGAAGGGAAGCTATAAGTGCTGGCCATAGCAGTACCTATGTTTGAAAGTCTGGTGGTGCATATATGTAGGTCCACAATCTAGTATGGCCACATTTGTGCCCTTGTATGACCCTGAGTTTGGCCAAGATGCACAAACTCTGGGACCAAATTTCTGTGTTGTTCATACTGTCACATCCATTTACTATCTGTGATAGAGGGATGACCCTGAATGACTGGCTCCAAGTGACCACCTGTCCAAACTCACTGCATCCAGTGTCCTTATCTTCATCCCCAACCACAGAGAACTTCTTGCCCTCTGGTCTTTTCCCCTTTCTCTCTCTTTCGGGAACCTGTAACACATGAGATGGGTGGTAGGAACAAAAAAGGATACAGTTCCAGGAAAAAGAGGCAAAAGTTTTTTTAAAGCTAAAGAGCAAACAGTATTGTAGAAACACATCAGGGACTCCTGGAGAAATTGAGGGGAAGGCATAAGTGAAGAAATGTAGGTAGATAAGGGCACAGCTAGGGAATAGGAGATGAGATGGACCCTGTCCTCATGGGTCCTCTACTCTCATCCCAGAGGCCCAGGACGATGACTAGCTCTGGAGAACTGAGGAGTGTGTGCTCTGCTCCCAACCTTGGCAAGTTACTCTCTTTAAACATGGACACTTTGTAGTTCTTCATGCACTGTCCCCCACTGTGAGCTG